GGTCACGTCGCACTCGGCTGCGAACCTTTCTTAGGAGCACTGGAGATCAGTTTCAGAAGATGCTAATAAAGCAAGGTCGTCTGCAAACAGCAACCTTCTCGTCTTCACACCTCCCACAACGATACACTCATCGCCTTGGCAGCTCCTGACTACTCTATCCATGTACAACACAAACAAGATAGCGGACAGGAGGCAGCCTTGCCGGAGACCAGTGCGATCGTTGAATGGTTTCGACTTAACGCCATTTACTCTGACGCCGCATCTGCTATCAGAATACAGTGACTGGATGGCCCTTAGCAGCTGGCCATCTCTCCCGTATGCTCGAAGGCATGGCCACAGACTGTAGCGTGGCATCCAGTCATACGCTTTCTCTAGGTCCACAAAACACATGTACATCGGCTTGACGTACTCCCACGATTTCTCAGCAATCTGGCGCAGGGCAAATATATGGTCAGAGGTCTTCAACCGGACCGGAAGCCACACTGCTGTTCTTGTATCTTGATTTCAGTTATTCCGTGGCACCTCCTTTCTAGCACTTTTGCGTAGACTTTACCTGGGTGGCTCAATGACGTAATGCCCCTATTACTGGAGCATTCATTGTGTTCTCTGTTCTTGAATACGGATACAATAACTCCCGTTCTCCGGTCCGCTGGTGTTATTCACGCAGTCATCGCAGTTTGACAGACGCGTGTAAACCAGTACATGCCTTGTTCGCCTAATGCCTTGAGTATCTCAGGGCGGCTTTGGTCAATTCCAGCAGCTTTTTCATTTTTCAAGCTTTTCACAGCTTGCGTAATTTCATCCACAGAGATAGTAATATCCGTATCCTTCTGCGAGTCTTCCTACGGCTGCACAGGGTTAAGGAGTTTCTCAAAGTTATCTCTCCATCGCCAAAGAATGTCATCATCCTTAGTAAGAGGTTGTCCAGAGATGTCCGTCAAGCTGAGAGACCGCCCTTCTTTTCACGTCAGAGCCAGGGGATGGTTTGCCAGAGTATTTTGTTTGTCGTGTGGAAATTCGACTCCATCACCTCACCGAACTTCTCCTAGGAATCAGCCTTGGCTTTTGCCACTGCTGTGGCTGCCGGTTGCGTGCCTCGACATATCGCACGCGTGTAGATGGCTCCTTGTTTCCAAGCCATTTCTTGAACGCTGCTTTCTTCTGTTTAACTGCTAGTTGCACATCTCGTGTTCACCATGAAGATCTTTTTTGACCTCCTGGCGGCAGGCCAACCCATTTAAATCCACAGCATTCGGCGGCAGCCTCGAATATACCACTTAAAGAAGTGCCACTCGGTTTCGACATCAGTTGTCATCACAGGGATCTCTTCAAACCGTTGTGCGATGTTGTTTGTAAATTTCGCTCTCGTGTCCACCGAAGATAATGTTTCCCATTTGATTCTCTGGTTGCTTCTGCCGCCAGGATTTCGTATGGTATACTCCATTTCTTACAACTGAGCGTGCCAACAGCAAGGTGGTATCGGTTGATAGCTCTGCACATCTCTTAACGGGAGCATCCATTGCTGAGCGTGTTAAGTCACTCCATACGATTATCAAATCGAACATCGACTTTTGTGCACAGGCTTCCCGGTACGAGGTGTGCTGATGCACTCTTCGATGATCGAAGAAGGTGTTCATAATGGACAATCCGTTGTTTGCACATAAGTGCAACGACTTCATGCCGTTGTTAAGTCGCTCTGGACGTTTTTTTCAGTCACGTCGTTCCACTTTTCAGTGTCTCATTTGACATGCATATTAAAATCGCCCATGAGTATGAGAGACTGTGTAATGGGCAGTTCGGTCAGAGCACCGTGCACTTCCTCCTCGACGGCATCATATTCTCCCTCCAAATTGGGCGCATAGGCCTGAGGCTTTTGCCTGCTTTAGCTTGAGTCAAAGGATTACCACCCTTCCGCTGTCAGGCTTCCAATCAATAGTTCTATCGGCGAGGTTGGGTTCTACCAGAACAGTAACACCGGCCTGAGTGAGAGTCGTGATATCGACACCTGTGCAGAATAGTTTCCACCCGCTGAAGTTGAGGAGTCTAGGGCCTGGGCGTTTTGTTGACGAGAGTCCAACAATGTCGAGTTGGTACTTCGTGTCCTCATCAACTAATTCATGTTCTTTTCGTCTGAATGAAGATATGTTGCAATTTCCGACTTTAAGCTCACACTTGTC